AACCAATTTATGGTGCCAACAAGAGCTTCATCAATAGAGGGCAACCACAATTCTCAAAAGCTTCACACACTCTTGATCAAGACAGTGTGAAGCAAAACCAATTTATGGTGCCAACAAAAGCCTCATCAAAGGAGTTCAACCACAATTCTCAAAAGCTTCACACAGTCTTGATCAAGACAGTGTGAAGCAAAACCAATTTATGGTGCCAACAAAAGTTTCATCAATGAAGGGCAATTACAACTCGTAGAAAGCTTCACACACTCTTGATCAAGACTGTTCGAAGCATATTTAATTTATATGGTTCATCCAAACCTTCGACTACTACAAAGTGTGGCTTGCATCACAATCTCTTGCTCAACAATGTGGAAGCAAAATTTGTATATGTTGTCTCTCCCACATTTTCAAATTTCTAATTTTCCAAAAAAAAAAAGGGAAATTGGGAAATTCAACAAATTTCCAGTTTTCCCCAAAAAAAAAAAAAGAAAGGAAATTGGGAAATTCAACAAAGCTTCACCACAAAAACTTCACTAACAAAAGCTTCATCAATGGAGGACAACTACAAATTCTCAAAAGCTTTACACTATCTTGATCAAGATAGTGTGAAGCAAAATCAATTCATGGTACTCAACAAAAGCTTCAACTCCAAAGCTTTACCTACAAAGCTTCAACTCCATAGCTTCACTTACAAAAGCTTCACCCATAAAAGCTTCACCCACCACAAAAGCTTCACCTACAAAAGCTTCACCCATAAAAGCTTCACCAACAAAAGGTTCACCCACAAAAGCTTCTCCCACCACAAAAGCTTCCCCCACAAAAGCTTCCCCCACCACAAAAGCTTCACCCACAAAAGCTTCACCCATAAAAGTTTCACCAACAAAAGCTTCACCCACCATAAAAGCTTCACCCACAAAATCTTCACCTACAAAAGCTTCACCTACAAAGCTTCAACACAAAAGCTTCATATACAAAAGTTTCACACTATCTTGATCAAGGTAGTGTGAAGCAAAATCAATTCATGGTACCCAACAAAGCTTCAACCTCAAAGCTTCACCTATAAAGCTTAAAATATATATATATATTTTTTTTTTTGGAAATTCGAAATTTTTAAAATTCAAAAATTCAAAAATTCAAAAATTCAAAAATTCAAAAATTAAAAAAAAAATTGCCTAGGCCTCTTCTTCTTTAGGCATAACAATTTTAAAACAAATATATATGAAGGAGGAGTTTTGGGCTACCACTTAGAAAGAAAAATGGTGAAATTTTGTTACTTTGGAAACTTGGCTACTAGCAAGACACCTCATTCGTCAACTCTCTCGACCGAAAACTTGGGGGATTCCTACCATATGCTACTGCACCTTGATACTCGGAAGACTCACGACCACTCAGTGACTTGGATTTTTTCAAGTCTCCAACCGAGAAGTTTTCCTCACTCGGGAAATTAAGGGAGCACTACCTCAACCTACATGTTTCACTCACAAAGCTTCAACATACAAGCTTTAACAAAAGGAAAAATTCAAAGAACTTAATGAAGAAGGCCTCTTGGTGTATTTAACACAATACGTTGAAATGAAGCAAAGCTTGTTTATTGATATCTCCGATAAGTTACAAACATGTACATATACATGAATCAAAACAAACAAACAAGAGGGAGCCTTTACAAAGGTTGCTCAGGAGAAATCTCAGCAGTCGGCAGATCCCCAGAAAAAAGAGGCACCAGAAGGTGATTATTCGGAGCCTCAGTACTAGGCAGAACCCCAGAAAGAGGAGGCACCGAAGGTTGATCATTTGGAGCTTCATTACGCAGTACAGCCCCAGAAGATGAAGGCAATAAATACATTTGGAACAAACCCACAAACCTCTGATGATCAAGTAAAATCTGACCATCAGATTCCTGTAGCTGGTCGAGCTTCATCTTCATGTTTGTAGCATAGTCATGTGCGAGCCTATGCAACTGTTTATTCCCATGTTGAGCCATCTGATCTCCTGTTTGAGACTTATCACTTCAGCCGCCAATGATTCAACTTGGCGTGTTCGAGAAAATAGGCGTTAGGCCATATTAGACACAGAACTTGCACACTGAATACTGAGAGCCAAAGAATCCTTAACAGCCAACTCATCCGACCGTTTGGAAAGTAGTCTGTTATCTTTGGGAGTGAGAAGGTTCTTGGCCACCACCGCAGCGGTCATATCATTATTCATCACAGAGTCCCCAACGGTAAGATGACTAATAGGGGATAAGAAGGATGGGCACCATATGTTGTCTTGAGAAGGCATGGCTGCCTTTTCACCAAAGTTCAAGTCAAAACGACGGTCGGATGAGCCAAACATTCTCAGAAATGATGAAGGAGAAATGAGGTGCAATAAATCTCTGAAGTAACGGGAAAATTCTTACAAGCAATAACTCTCTGAATGTACTTCTTGCACACAATTGGTGCCCTTATAAAACAAAGGGCAACATGGCCGTTGGTTCAAAAATCGAAGAGGCACCACTTTCCGGATTCCGAAGAGGCACCAATCCACACGCAACATCAGCTTCTCGGGTACCACATATAACTTTGCCAAAGATCTCTGACAAAGTTTAGACACATAATTTTTGAAGGTCCAGCTACCCTACTATTACCCATAAAGGTAAAGGAATAGCACCACTGCTTGATAACTAGAAAGTTCTTATGTATGTCAACCTCTGTGCTCCATGGCAAGGCAGACTGGCAAAAATGCCCAACCTTTACTCACATCGAGAAAACACTCCCAACAAGATTGCTTGCTCAAAAATCGAAGAGGCACCGCTATCTGAATCTCGAGAGCTAGACTCCCAATAGGATTACGTGCTCAAAAATTGAAGAGGCACCGCCTTCCGAATCTCGAGAGCCAGACTCCCAACATGATTACTTTCTCAAAAATCGAATAAACACTGCTCTCTGAATCTCAAGAGTCAGACTCCCAACGGGATTGCTTTCTCAAAAATCGAAGAAGCACCGTTCTCTAAATCTCGAGAGCCAGATCCCCGACAGAATTGCTTGTTCGAAAACTGAAGAGGCACCGCTCTCCGAACTTCGAGAGCCAGATTTCCTTGGATAAAGCTTGTCTGCAATCTGCACACGCAACATCAGCTTTCCAGATACCACATACCACTTTTTCAAAGTGCTCTGACAAAGTTAAAACACGTGAAGCTTGCAGCTCCCACTATATTGCTATGACCAAGAAGGGTAAAGGAATAACACTACTACTTGTTGTTAGGGAGACTCCTATATATGTCGACCTCCATCCTCCACAGCCAGGCGACCTGCAAATAAATAAAAAATGCTCAACTTTTCTTCACATCCGAGAGAGCACTCTCAGCAGAGTCTTTCGAAATACTCAGCTTATTTTCCCCCTGATAATACCTCTGCAAACAAGCCACACCAGAGCAAGAGTATCTCATATCATCAGGGTTAAAAGCAAGAGTATCCCATATCATGCTTTTTCCTTGTCTTTTCCTTTGGCCTTGTTCTTACCTGCAAGACAAGGAGAAAGAGAGCAATCAGTCAGCACTTGGAATCAAGCTTCCATTCAGGAACTGACTGCCTAGAACCCCTTGCCTGATTACTTACCTGACATTGCTCTCGAGTACTCATCTTCAACATCTTATGCTTCCAAAGGAGATACCACATCTGCCTGAGGAACAGATAGGGCAAGTGAGAAAGATACAAGGAAGCATGTGGAGACAAGCGTAACAGAACATGTGCCGATACATCCACTACTTTGTCAACAACAAAAGTATCTCATATCATCAGGGTCAAACGTACTCTAGATTTGATGGACTTGTTTTGACCCTCAAATTCTTGAGTCGGCCTTATACTTTGGAGGAAACCAGAAAACCCTCAAGCCCAGTTCAAGAATAAGCCTATGGAAAGTTACTTCTTCAAAAGCAAAAGTATATCATATCATCTCTTCTCCATTTGCTTCTCATTATCTTTGTTGCTGTTTATGACACAAGGAGAAGGAGAATAATCAACCGGAAGCCGAAGTCGAACCTCCGATCCAGGTTGCTTACTTGGAAGTCTGATTGCTTACCTTGTCTATTACCTCCTTCAACAAATCTCCTAGCTCAGCGACTTGGGGGACTCTTACTATAGGGTTTGTATTGCACTTGACCAAGCCTGAAACTACAAGTAAGCTTCAAGTGAAATTGATACATTACCTTGTGCATCTTCATCGGTTAAAGATACCACTCCTGGATGGAGGAAAAGTACTTCCAAAGAAGATGCCACATCTACATATGAGACAGATAAGGCAAGTGAAAATGATACCACACTTCGGTACTTAGAAGTTTAGTGATTACTCAATGGCTTGGATCTTACAAGTCCCCAACCAAGGAGCTTCCCTCACTCAGGAACCTAGGGGAACACTGTTTGTACAATACTTGACCAATCCCGAAACTACTGAGCACCAGTCAACGTTATACCGTCAAAGACGCAAAAGAGTTTCCCTCCAACTAAGAGGCCAATCACAGCGCGACAGGTGTCGACATCAGAAGCCAATCATAGCACGACATGTGTCAACATCAGAAGACAATCACAACACGACACGTGTCAATGTCAGAATGAAACTAGAAACTCTCTTCTATAAATAGAGATCATTCTCTCACAATATTCCCTAATGTCATTTGTACTAAATCATTCACTAGTACTCGCAAAAGGAGAGCTTGAACCTATGTACTTGTGTAAACCCTTCACAATTAATGAGAACTCCTCTACTCCGTGGACGTAGCCAATCTGGGTGAACCATGTACATCTTGTGTTTGCTTTCCTGTCTCTATCCATTTACATACTTATCCACACTAGTGACCGGAGCAATCTAACGAAGGTCACAAACTTAACACTTTCTGTTGTACCAAACTCCTCACTGATTTTGTGCATCAACAAAGTCTAAAAGTATTATATGTTTCTTACTAATGTTTATTGATTTTTTTATATTTCATTTAAATTAGAACTAATATACATTTATTTTTTGTACAATAGAAGAAGGCGAAAGCCAACAAGATCAATCAGGAGAAGAAGACTTTTTTCTACCATTCGGGTTTGAGGCCCTTCTTATACAGGATGGAGGCGCAGCGACATGTAATAATAAAGCTTTTCATATTAAATTTTTAATATTTTAGTAATATTAATTTTTCTTTTGTACTAACATTTTTCTTATCTTATTCTATTCAGACGGGTTCAAAATTCCCGGAGATCAATGTCTTTGCAGAGTTTATGTTCGACCCATGGATGAGTTGGCCAAGCCCCTTCATGTAAGTATTTTTCAATTGTAATTACTATCTTACGCATTCAAGTATCATGGTTATTATTTGAATGTTATTATTAATATTTCATATTATATTACACATGCGACGATGATGGAGAAGATGCAGTTGGTTCTTCAGGGGTCCGCCTCCCAGCTTCCTCCTGAGACTCCTCTTAAGTTTGTGGATCCCCCAAGGATGTGGGGTTTCAGATCCTTACAGACACCTTAGATCAGACTCTTGGGTGGAGGTTAAGGACGTATTGTAGGGGGATGCGGAATGCTTGGCGGTGGGAACTTTGAGCCTTTTCATCCTCCCAATCGAAGGATGAGGTGACATATTTGACAACAAAGGTGGCCGACCTTAGGACTGGGTTCGCCTCATATAAGAGCCAGATGTTACTAATTTTATAGGCCCTCAGTCAGTTATACATTCGTCTCTTAGATATTTGTCCCCTTTCGATGTTAGATCCCACATCGCCTAGGGGAATGGATCCTCTATGCCTTATATGTATATTCTCATCTCTACCTAGTACGAGGCCTTTTGGGAGCTCATTGGCTTCGGGTTCCTTAGGAACTCCGAAGTTAAGCGAGTTCGCGAGAAAGCAATCCTATAATGGGTGACCCACTGAGAAGTTCTCGTGTAAGTTCCCAGAAACAAAGCCGTGAGGGTGTGATCGGGGCCCAAAGCGGACAATATCGTACTATGGTGGAGTTGAGCCCATGATGTGGTGGGGGCCCGGGCCGGGATGTGACAATTTGGTATCAGAGCTAATCCTTGGCCGGATGTGTGCCGACGAGGACGTTGGGCCCCTAAGGGGATGGATTGTTAGATCCCACATCGCCCAGGGGATTAGATCATCTATGCCTTATATGTATATTCTCATCTCTACCTAGTACGAGGCTTTTTGGGAGCTCACTGGCTTTGGGTTCCGTAGGAACTCTGAAGTTAAGCGAATTCGCGCGAGAGCAATCCTATGATGGGTGACCCACTGGGAAGTTCTCGTGTGAGTTCCTAGAAACAAAACAGTGAGGGCATGGTCGAGGCCCAAAACGGACAATATCGTGCTATGGTGGAGTCGAGCCCGGGATGTGGTGAGGGCCCGGGCAAGGATGTGACAGTCGACGTGCTAGCCCCTCCAACCTGAATATGCCCAGAACTATGCCCCTTCAACCTCTGAGCCTGTCCTCAACCCCGACCCCTTCTTGCCCCAATCTTTTCATCTGCATGCGAACGACGACCCTGTAGATTATTCCACATTTTTTTAAGTTGTTTAGTCCCTTACTTTTACAATTTTTTCCTTGTACATACATTTTATTTTTATTTTAAATAAATTATTTTTCTTGTCATACATTTTTTATTTTATTATAAAATTAAACCTAGAACAAAAAATATAATTTTTAACAAAATATAATATATTTTTTTTTGCGAATAATAGCTTCGTTGTGCATACTTTTTTGCGATAACTCACTTTCATCGCACAAAGTTTTTAGACACGAATATTAGTTGTCCTAGGTTTGTATCTTGGCATTTTGTGCGACGAACATATTCGTTCCTAAAAATTTGGTGCGACGAATGAGAAACCGTCACGCATTATTTTCCACGACCAATGCTTTTATTCATCGCGCAAAGTCTTTCTTCACGATCTTTGCGGGACCGATTCTGCGCAACAAAGTTTTCATCACACATACGTTTGTGCGACGCTATTAACCTTTGCACGACCAATTTTTGTTCATCGTGCTAAATGTTAAACGTGGTAGTGATTGATTTTTACTTTAATTTGAGTCTCAACTCAATTCAAGTTCAACAAACTTTTAACAAAATAGGGCTGCAAATTTTAACTAGAATGAACGAGCCAAGGAGATCTCAAAACCCTAAATTACGAGTGGGTGGGAAGAATATTTAAGTGCTTGTAATTGTTGCTCCATATGATTCTACAGTAAGCAAGGCTCCTATCACATGTGTGATTAGTTTACTTTTGCTTTCAATTTTTTATTACAACACTAGGCCAATCTTATTATTGGCTATTTTTTAATAACATTCAAACCTTTGGATAACAGCTATAACTCTTGGATAAGTTCCAAGAGACACAACTCTACATTGCAGAAAGTGCATTACGTTTAACACTTACATCATTGACATGATCCTAGTTGATCTAAGGTTGTTACATATATCCTCCTTAGGTTCCTGAGTAATCCTCTCTAGTTCCTGCTGAAATCTCTCCATGGCCGAGGATGGCAAACACATTGGTACCAATATTCCATCCTCAGTGTTGTTTTTGTGTTGAACGTAGAAGCTAATCAAATCCAAGGCCTTGGCGGGTCCAGCAAATACCGGCTGTCCCCATCCAAAATTGACATCTCCAAAACCTGCACGCGTATTATCAGAAACTATTAAATAACTTCCTGTCGATGAATATTGAGGTCGCCCTCTTAGTACCATAAGATCTGCCACTGATCTTAAGTATTCTTCATTCATGGTAGCTTTAGCCTTCTTCACCAACTCCAAAGCATATCCCAGTGGATTTTTGCATAGAGGTTCAGCCTTTGAAACTGCAGTTGGAAATGCAAATGCATTGCCATAGTATCCCAAGGGAAGACGTACATTGTGGTGCTTTCCCCGTGCATTGACAATGCATGAAACTCGAACAGCCTGTTTTGGATTAATTTTAAGTGCAAGAGTGCGACATTTCCACAAACAAGCTGTGATCAAGTCAAATGTGGAGCAAGTGGAAATTACGTGGGGTGGAATATGTTTTTGAAGGACTCTCATCTCCTTGGCACCAAAGTAGAAAGATCGTTGAACCATGTTTGACTGGTTACTGGATGCGTATGAGCCATTAGAATGATCAATCACGTCTTCATATTCATGATGAACACATGTAATTCTTGGTGGATCTCGAGCGAACAAGAGCTCTCTCTCCCACACTGGTAGAATAGATGGTGCATGTGCGCCTCTTGCCATCTCCGCAATGGCGGTCAGGAACAGGAGCAATCCAGGTGCATCACACATTGTGTGGTTTGCGCGCAATGCAAGTATGAAACCTCCGCATGTAAGACAGGTCACCTGCATATTGCAAAAGTTAGTTACTAGACTTCTTTCTTGATCATCATATTCGTGCTAGTTAACAATTCTTTAGAAGAAAAGACCAAAAAAAAAAAAAAACACCCATCTAAATTAGATGATCTAATTAGGAAACAAAAATTTCATAAAAATTAGGAATAAAATTCAAAAAGGATGGAGTCTCGTGCCTGTTGTAGTTACTTGAAAGAGTCTTTAAATATAGAGGAATTTAGACAAAACGCTTATAGAAGAGAAAAATTTAGACAGAAGACAAAGAGGACGACATGAGGACATGCAAAAAACCTAGAAGAAGAACGGCAAAGGAAAACCTGTTGAGAGTTGTCCCATATTAGTGAGGAACAAGGTTTGCTATGTGCTTATATGATCTTGGGCTACTCCCTATATTGCCAATTGGTTTATGGTGGAACCTTAATTTCATCATGGTATCAGAGCAAGGTTGTCCACGTGTGAAGCCCAACGGTCACACGCGCTCCACGTCACCCAGTTGTTGTCCACGTGTAGGCTTGAAAATCCACCACACTTGCGGGGGCGTGTTGAGAGTTGTCCCACATCGATGAGGGACAAAGTTTGCTATGTGCTTATATGGTCTTGGGCTACTCCCTAAATTGCCAATTGGTTTCATGGTGGAACCCCAATTTCATCAAAAACTACACAATAAAGGTGATGTAAGACTGGTAGAACACCTAGGACCTAATTAGGCAGATACCATGTAGAAATATAATTTCCTCAATTCGGTGTGTATACAAATTTTACAATGTATAGGGTTAAACATAAGGATTGTTGAAGAAAAATTAGTTTCGAAAAATAATGAAAAGCGTCTCATAATCTTTTCTTTCCAAAACCACCTAATGACTTTCTTTAATCATAAGAACAAAGAGGCGTGGTAGTATCGTAGATAAGTTCAAGTTTGGGAGTGGTGGCAGTATGATAAATTTTCGTTTATGAAAAGGGTTACCAATTTTATGAAAAATTAAAAAACGGTTGCGGTGCCACCAAACTTCAACTTATTAACAATATTGTTAGCGCTTTCTTGTTTATGTACCTATTTGTCATTAAAAATTTCATATGTTGTTGATTGCACGAATTTCTTACAAAAAATCTTCGGGGTGTGTATGCGACCTTAACGCAAAAAACACTACTCATATCCTTAACCTACTTCAAATTTTTTGTAAAGAATTAATGGCTATGAGTCTATGACCAAATATGAATACGAAAAACTAAATAACATGTAATTGATAATTAATTGACTCACCTGAACCAGCAGCAAAGGACAACCAATAATTCCATCAGAGCCTGGAAAATTAAATAAGAACTCCTCTAAAAGTGGACAAGGGGGTAGAATTTTGTCTCCTAGTTGCTCAAGTGTGACATCAGCAGAAGCCTCAACAAACAAGATACCTTCACCGTTGCAATCGACCATGAGCTTTCTGTTAGGCCCTTCCTTAAGCCTTCCAGCTAAAGGGTAGTAATACACTAATGCTCTACTTAAGGCTTCCCTAATCACCTTAACGGGATTACAATTTTTATTAAGTGAAGGGTTATCTTTGTAACACATTATGACTGGAACCTGAAATCTCAAGCCTTCTTGGTCGTCAATATCTGAGAGAAACTTTGTTTCTTGAGGAGTTGGCTTTGCCGGAGTTATAAGTTCCAATTGCAATCGTTTTACCTGAAGTACTGAGAGTGGCATCATTTCAGTAACGAGCTTAAGAACTAGCAAAAGATCAAAGGATTTGGAACTTTTATTTTTTGGTATGCATGGTAACTAAAAGTTGATAGTCAGTACTTATATAGCGTTATGCAGATGCTCTAGGGCTCCCGAATCCTTCGTCCAAGTTTCCACCTGTTGTGAATGTGATTCTTTTCTTTTCCATTAAAAATGTTGTTAGAAAGAAACGTTTAAATCACGCAATCAACATGGACTGCAAAGAAAACATTGTACGTACCTGCCCCAATTCACAGTTCACAGTTCACACCACAGATTCGTACATATAATAATGAATTTCAATTCAACATCAGAAAACTGAATACTAACAGGGATATGAGGACAGGTGTTCGGTAGAAAACCTTTGATAGGAATGGAAGTAAAAAGGCCAACATCGTTCGTACCTGCCCCAATTACAGCTGTCACTTTTGTAAAACATCCATTAGACGTCTGCTATAAAGGAAAACATTGTTGGGACTTGGGAGCACGTGAAGTGTTGGGCTATAAAGGAAAACATTGTTAGAAGCAGGTCAAGTGTTGGGCTATAAAGGAAAACATTGTTGGCGTATTGATGGCGTGGAGCACGTCAAGCGTTGGGCTTCACATATGACATAATTTGCTCAGATACCATGATAAAAGTTGAGGTTCCATCTTCATTTAGTATTATAATTTAGTTGTATTTCTCTTCACTTATAAGTGAAAGATTTTATGTTCAATTCTCGTCAAAGGTTCAAAGGAGAACTTGAACTACATTATTATTACTCCATTGTGAGTCTAAACCCATTATTTTTCTCTTAGTGTAGATAATGTCGTTTGTTAAACAAAAACATAGAGTAGTTGAGTTTCTATCATAAAACTAATTGACAATATGAAGAGTAACTCAATTACTTATAAGCACATGCAAATTCCTTCCCTTACCTAATATGAGATCTATACTCTCAACATTTCACTGTTAAGCAAATATGTACAAAAAAAAAATGGAACAAATAATTCGATCACTTGGACAAAATAGAACTCACTTAAGACAATATTATATTTGTTAAAGACAAGACTCACTGAAGACAATATTATGTTTGTTAAAATGGCAATGGAGCTTCTGATTACACCCAACTTTTATCTCCTCACCCAATGAACTCCTTTTACTCTACAAGATTTTAAAAAATTAACATCTACTCTCCGTACTCACCGAATCTTCCAAAATTACCCCTTCCAAATCCTTCTCCATCTTACACGATATATCTTCCAACAACCTCCCCTTCAATACGGGGCTGCCGAACCCACTTTCCTCCATCAATATTTGGTTCTTCATCAAGTTATGCACACTCTTTTGAGAATTCAACTTAATTATAAGGAACATGAAACCAACAGCTCTTAGCAACTACTTGTGAATTATGTATTTATTTGCGTTCATTTAAGTTGGTGGTTAGCCATCCAATTGTTCTTCCCCATCAATTTTTAGAAGAAATCAAACCAAACTAGACTTGAGTGTTCATATATTCATTGGAGTTGAATATAACAATACGTAAAATTCCATCACTAAGAAGTAAGAAGCCAAATTGTATCAAGACTTTGTAACAGCAGCATGAAGGTCAGAAGTCGACTTGGAGGAGAAGATCGCGAGCGGGTTCAGCTAGCACTGGTTAACTGAACCCCCGATTCCATGTTCATGGTTATCGGCTAATCCTCAACTCTTATGTTCGGTGCTTAACTTCCGAACATTGAACTTTTTGTCAAATTTTGATTGAATAAATGGATAAAAACTATGTAAAAATAATAAATAATAAATGGCAAAAGAATGTATCCATAGTGTTAAAAAAATTGGTAAATTTTACAAACAAATTGGTACATTTCACATATAACAAAGTGGTACATTAATAAAGAAGAATGGGTACATTAGAAATAAATTAGGGTACATATAAAAGATTAAAAATTATGAATACAAATGAATTTTTAAAATATAGGCGCTAAAAGAAATTAATACATGGGTACAAAATAAAACCAAAAAGAAAATACTACAAATTTAAAAAAAAAAATGTTGCAAATTAAAAGTGGGTATAAACTAAAAATATAAATATATGATACAAAGTTTAGGCATAAAACATAAATATATTATATGTAATTTTTCTATCATTGATTAAATGTCATGTGACGGTATACACATGGGTACAAACACAAATAAAACTTTAAAAAAATATGGGCACAACAAGAAACTAATATATGGGTACAAATTAAAAATGAAAAGAAAATTGGTACAAATTAAAAAATATTTGCAAATTAAAAATTGGTACAAACTAAAAATAAAAATATATGATAAAAAATTTAGTCATAAATATAAATACACTAATTGTAACATTTTTATCATTAAAGGAATATATTTAAAAATAAAAATATTTTATTATTCAAATAATTAATGATGTTATTAATACCCAAGGACCTTGATCAAAAATTGAAAATGAATAAAATTTTAATTAATGAAGTAACAAAAAGAAGGATGTGAACCTAATTTTCCCTTGCCAGATACCACAGACCACCTTTTCAAAGTGCTCTGACAGAGTTAAAACATGTGAAACTGGCAGCTCCCACTACCGTGCTATGACCAAGCAGGGTAAAGGAATAGCATTACTACTTGTTGTTAGGGAGACTCCTATATATGTCGACTTCCATCCCCAACGGACAGGCAGACCTGCAAAAATGCTCAACCCTTCATCATATCTGAGAGGGCACTCCCAACGAAGCCTTTCGAAATATTCAGCTTTCTTTCCCCCCGATAATACCTCTGCAAACAAGCTATACTAGAGCAAGAATATCTCATATCATCAGGGTTAAAAGCAAGAGTATCCCATATCATGCTTTTTCCCTGTCTTTTCCTTTGGCCTTGTTTTTACCTGCAAGACAAGGAGAAAGAGAGCAATCAGTCAGCACTTGGAATCAAGCTTCCAGCCAGGAAGTGACTGCCTGGAACCCCCTTACCTGATTACTTACCTGGCATTGCTCTCGAGTACTCATCTTCAACATGTTATGTTTCCAGGGAAGATTCCGCATCTGCTTGAGGAACAGATAGGGCAAGTGCGAAGGATACAAGGAAGCATGTGGAGACAAGCGTAACAGCACACGTGCCGATACATCCATTACTCTGTCAAAAGCAAAAGTATCCCATATCAGCAGGGTGGAACGTACTCTAGATTTGATGGACTTGTTTTGACCCTCAAATTCTTGAGTCGGCCTTATATACTCTGGAGGAAACCAGAAAAACCCTCCAGCTCAGTTCAAGAATAAGCCTGTGGAAAGTTACTTCTTCAAAAGCAAAAGTATCTCATATCATCTCTTCTCATTTTTCTTTTCTCTTTATCCTTCATGCTGCTGCAAGATGGGGAGAAGGTGAACAATCAGTCGGAGCTCTGATTGCTTACCTTGTCTGTCACCTCTTTCAGCAGACCCCCTAGCTCGGCGACTTGGGGGACTCCTACTACATGGTTTGTATCGCGCTTGACCAAGCCTGAAACTACAAGTAAGCTTCAAGTGAAATTGATACATTACCTTGTGCATCTCCACCAGTTAAAAGATACCACCCCTGGATGGAGGAAGAGTACTTCCAGAGAAGATGCCACATCTACCTATGAGACAGATAAGGCAAGTCAAGACGACACCACACACTCCGATACTTAGAAGTTTCGTGATTACGAGATCATTCTCCCACAATATTTCCGAATGTCATTTGTACTAAATCATTCACTTGTACTCACTAAAGGAGAGCTTGAACCTATGTACTTGTGTAAACCCTTCACAATTAATGAGAACTCTTCTATTCCGTGGACGTAGCCAATCTGGGTGAACCACGTACATCTTGTGTTTGCTTTCCTATCTCTATCCATTTATATACTTATCCACACTAATGACCGGAGCAATCTAGCGAAGATCACAAAAAGCGACCGTTTTCGCTACCTAGGATCTATCTTGCAAGAGAACGGAGAATTAGATGGAGATCTCAACCATAGAATACGAGCTGGATGGATGAAGTGTAAGAGTGCATCCGGTGTGTTGTGTGACCGTCGTAGGCCACTGAAGCTCAAGAGAAAATTTTATAGGACGGCAATAAGGCCAGCGATGTTTTATGGCACAGAATGTTGGGCGGTGAAGCATCAACACGTACACAAAATGGGTGTAGCGGAGATGAGGATGCTTCGTGGGATGTGTGGGGCACACGAGAAAGGATAAGATTGGGAATGGGGATATCCGAGGTAAAGTAGGAGTAGCCGAAATTGTAGGAAAGATGAGAGAAAATCGGCTCCGGTGATTTGGACATGTGCAAAGAAGGCCGACTGACGCTCCGGTTCGAAGATGTGACTACGGGACAGAGGTTCAGGGCCGAAGGGGTAGAGGAAGACCTAGGAAAACTTTGGAAGAGACTCTAAGAAAAGACTTAGAGTACTTGGATCTAACGGAGGACATGACACAAAACCGAGCGCAATGGCGTTCTAGGATTCATATAGCCGACCCCACTTAGTGGGAAAAGGCTTTGTTGTTGTTGTTGTAATAACATTCAGACCTTTGGATAACAACTATAACTCTTGGATAAGTTCCAAGAGACACAACTCTACATTACAGAAAGTGCATTACGTCTAAAACTCACACCATTGACATGATCCTAGTGGATCTAAGGTTGTTACATATATATCATCCATAGGTTCCTGAGTAATCCTCTCTAGTTCCTGCTGAAATCTCTCCATGGCGGCCGAGGATGGCAAACACAATGGTACCAATATTCCATCCTCAGTGTTGTTTTTGTGTTGAACGTAGAAGCTAATCAAATCCAAGGCCTTGGCGGGTCCAGCAAATACAGGCTGTCCCCATCCAAAATTAACATCTCCAAAACCTGCACGCGTATTATCAGAAACTAGGAAATAACTTCCTGTTGATGAATATTGAGGTCGCCCTCTTAGTACCAAAAGATCTGCCACTGATCTTAAGTATTCTTCATTCATGGTAGCTTTAGCCTTCTTCACCAACTCCAAAGCATATCCCAGTGGATTTTTGCATAGAGGTTCAGCCTTTGAAACTGCAGTTGGAAA